TTTTTTGAGACGGAGTCTCGCTCTGTTGCCCAGGCTGGAGTGCAGTGGCGTGATCTAGGCTCACTGAAACCTCCACCTCCCAGGTTCAAGTGATTCTCCTGCTTCAGCCTCCCAAGTAGCTAATTTTTTTGTATTTTTAGTAGAGACGGGGTTTCACTGTGTTAGCCAGGATGGTCTCGATCTCCTGACCATGTTCATCCACACGCCTTGGACTCCCAAAGTGCTGGGATTACTGGCGTGAACCACTGTGCCTGGCCTATTTGTAGTTCATTTTTTTCATTGCTGAGTAACATTTCATTGTATGGATTTGTCACAGTTTGTTCATCCATTCACTTGTTGATGGACATTGGGATCATTTCCAGTTTTTTGAATAAAGCTTATATGAACATTCACATACAAGTCTCTGTATGGACATATGCTTTGATTCCTCTTGGGTAAATATCTAGGAGTAGACTACCTGGATCTTATGGTAGGTGTCTATTTGACATCTTAAGAAACTGCCAAACTGTTTTCCCAGATGTTTGTACCGTTTTACATTTCCACCAATAATGTATGAAAGTTCCAATTTTTCTACATCCTTGCCTTGATGTGGTTAGTTTTTTTATCCACTGTGATGGGTGTGTAGTGGAATATCAGTGTGGCTTTAATTTGCATTTCCCTAATGACTAATGATGTTGAGGATCTTCTCATTTGAGCTTTACCCTCTGTTTATCTTCTTGGGAGAGGTGTCTCCTCACATTTTGTGTCTGTTTTATCAGATTGTTTGTCCTCTGATTCTTAAGTTTTGAGCATTATTTATATATTCTAAATACAAGTTCTTTATCAGATAAATGATTTGCAGATATTTTCTCCCACCCTGTGGCTTATTGTTACACCTCTTAATGATGTGTTTTTATTTTTACTTCTTTATTATTATTTATTTTTAGAGACAGAGTGCGCTCTGTTGCCCAGGCTGGAGTGCAGTGGTATGATCATAGCTCATTGCAGTCTCAAACTCTTGGGCTCGAGAGCCTCAAACTCTTACTAGGACTACAGTTACCAGCAACCACACCTGCCTAATTTTTTTATTTTTTTGTAGAGATGAGATCTTGCTATGTTGCTCAGATTGTCTTGAACTCCTGGGCTCAAGTGATCATCCCACTTGGCCTCTCAAATGCTGGGATTACAGGTGTGAGCATCACAACCAGA